CAGAAAAGCTGGGGGAGCGGGCAGCCGTGGGGAGATACTGGTGTTGGAGAGAAGAATTGAAAGAAACTAGTGGGTGGCGAGAGGCAGGAACGGAGACGCTCCGCTGAGAAAGAAGTAAAAGCAGGAAAGCAGAGACAAACTACGAGAAGAAACAAAGTAATAAAGAAAAGGGGAAGAGAGGCGATACGGTGATTCCTCTGAGAAAGAAGAAAGCGAAGGAGAGGGAATACGGAAGGACTCCACTGATGAGAGAGAAGAGTTGAAAGACACCCCCCGAGAGACACCAAACAGAGACTGACTCTAAAACAATCTCTCTCTCTCTCTCTTTGTCACACCACAAGGATTTGATGCCCCTCAGCCTGTTCACTTCTGTGTGTTCATGTTTCCCACAGGTTTCTCTTCCCCCAACCCCCCAGCTGCAGCCCAGGAGGTCAGACCTGCCACTGATGGTAACACCAGCAGCAGCTCCTCCTGCAAGAAGAGAAAGTTAAATAACAGCAGCAACAGCAATTCTGAAAGAGAAGAATTTGATTCCATTTCTTCCTGCGCCTCTTCTCCTTCCAAAAACACCTCCTCGTCATCTTCCTCCGTCATCACCACCTCCTCGTGCTCCTCCTCAGGGGTTGCCTCCTCTAACCATCACCTCCAGAAGAAGCTGCGCTTTGAGGACTCCGTGGATTTTATTGGACTCGATGTGAAGATGGCTGAAGAGTCTTCTTCCTCCTCCTCTCCTGCTGCCTCTTCTCAACAGCAGCACCAACAACAGCTCAAAAATAAAAGCCTTTTAATTTCATCAGTCGCTGTGGGGCACCATGCAAATGGCCTGACCAAAGCTGCCTCCTCTACTGTTTCCAGTTTCGCCAACAGTAAACCTGGCTCCGCTAAGAAATTAGTGATCAAGAACTTTAAAGGTAACAGGCCATAATTTGTCACAACCTATGGGGAGCTGACGCTCAAATTTGTGTTTTGTTTTCAACATGAAAACCGGTTGGCTTTCAAATAGCTCCAGGTTTTACAGGAAATGCTTTTACTTATGTAAAGGGCAAATAATGTTTTATGATGCATACTTGCCCAGTCATGTACGCATACTGAGCTACATCACTTCGCTGCTTGGGATTGTTTTTCAGACTCCTTTCACTGTTTGTTGAGAAGGCCTTAGCTTCTGTGTTGGAGGAAAGGTTTTACTACATAAGTGTGTAAATCGCCTTTCTTCAAACTTTTAACAATTGATCTCTCTTTCCTAGTAATCCCGGTTCAGGGTTTAGTATATTTTTTAGCCCAGTTTATGGTAAGTCTTTGCACAGAATGCATTTTTTTTTTAAATTGGGCCTGAGCATATATGTCTTGTCTATCCATGTTGTCTGTTTATAGGTTAATCTGCCTGTGCTTAGTTTTAAATGTTGAAACTAAGGTGATTATCAGGCTATTATGGCGGATTTCCTTTCTGGTTTCCACACTTGCCTTTAAAGTAGGTAGTTCAGATTTTTGCTGAGTGCTTTCCTTGCAATATCCTTGCTATAATATTTATTATTTAACTCTTTAATGTCTTCTCTGTCTTAACATACTCTCATTTTACAAGCTTACATTATTTTATAAATTCTCTCAAAAGATGTTTTTGAGGTTCTCGAGTATTGTTTCTAGAGACCAGCTGAAGCAGAGAAATTAAACTTTTCTGCTGTGATGCTGCTTCATTTTCTAGTAAACAAAAATACAAGTAGGTTTAGGCAGAAAGCTTAGCTAAACTTCTGTCGTCTTTTGGTTTTTTCCCTATAAAGATGGGGAAAACGTGGGCTTTTCTTATTTTCTGCCTCTTGCTATCTTCTAAAATAGTCTGATAGCTTGCTTTCTTGGGTTGTTTTTCTTTTACCCCATGTGTTTGGGGTTGGGGTGGGGGTAAAAGATATTACCGATGTTAAAATTAATTTCTAAACACATAATTGATACAAATGTTCTACAGAGATATCGTAGAAGGTAAAGATTAGGATTATTTCAGCCACTGTAGTGTTTTACAACAATTCATGATCACAGTGTAACTTTTTGCTTTCAGGTCCTCCTCATTCTCAAAAATGTCCATTATAATAAATCTCCACCTATCATGTCGTCATAATTTAATTTGACTGATTATTTTAAAATTTATACTTACGATGCATGATAGTGAGAAATAAATGCCACTCTTCTGTTGCTTCTACACTGTTATCTTTAAGGGAAGTCAACTTTTCATGTTTAAAATATTTGTTAAATGTCATGGATTGCATGGTGCTGCAATCATCATTGCTTATGAATTGGTATTTGAATCGCTTGCCTAAAAATGATGTCTCAGGAATCTGCCAGCTTTGCTTTTTATTTACTCTCAGATGCTAAATTGAATAATAATCTTAAGATTATTGTCTTTATCTTAGTGTGATAGCAATAACTTCCTTTGCAACTTAAATAACTTCCTAAAATCCAGAATCTTGGTATTTACTGCTGAGTAGCATACTCATTGGTTGCTAGTGAAAATAGGCAAGTCTCACTTGTAGTTAGCTGTCACTCCAGATTCTTATAATACAGCTAATGTTGGAATATTGTAGGGAGATACTTGGGAGGACAAAAAAATTACTTCTCTCTGTTATTTGCAGAGAAACCATAAATTTAAAATAACATTTGGGTTTTTACCTTTAGGTATGTAAACATTGGTTTTAATAAACTTTGGGCCAGTTTCACCTGTTGGTGGCATGGTTGAGCATGTGACTTTCTCCCTGAATTTTCTCCTCCTTCCTTCTCCATTTGGGAATGTGCTTATTAGAACAAAAACGGTCATTTTGACTAGTTATTAGAACACACAGAATTTTAAAATAGTCATGGTATTCTGAGGATGTGACTTGGGGACTCTCTCCTAGCCTGTTGTAAATGCTTTAGTCTTGTCAAAGATGCTGCATAGCAGGGGCATCTGCAGAAGAGAGGCTGAAAAAAAATAATGGAAATAGTCAAATCTGCAAAGCTTGAGGTATTTCAACATTAAAAGAGGGCTTAACTCTAACAGATATCCACTGGCCAAGCCAAAGAGAGATGTAAATGGATTACTTTTAAAATAGGAAGGTTTTCCCTGCAATAATAAAGCCTGTATTATAATTACAGTATTTCCATGCATGTTTCTTGAGTGTTTCTTTCCAACTGTTAATACAGAGTAGAATTAACGAGGAGTAAATTAAAAAAATAAGCTATGCGCAACTCTGTACCTTGTAGTCCATCATTTTCGGCTTTTATGTTCACTTCCATTTAGCTGTGCTGTCCTGGTAGTGAAAAAGAGCATAATGAAAATGTAGACCATTCTTGCTGGTTTTTAGCCTTTTATCCTGTCTTGAGCTGCTCAGGCATGGTATTGTGATTTTTATAAATCACACATACTGTTTGGGCTACAGATGCTGTGATGTGTATGTGAAGAGCAATGCTGAATTTTTACAATGCGCTACTATTTCACATGTAAATAAGATACTGCTTTTACACTAATGCTTTCTTTTCATGTAAGTATAAATTAAAACCTAGAGCATCAGCCCATACCTCTTTCCTTTCAAAGCTACATTTTTCATTTCTGTAAAAGTTAAAATGTTCTGCTCTTTCTAAATACTTTATCAAACTCTATATAATTTCTTTTAAAGACAAACCCAAATTGCCTGAAAACTACACAGATGAAACCTGGCAAAAACTGAAAGAAGCTGTAGAAGCTATCCAGAACAGTACTTCAATTAAGTACAATTTAGAGGAGCTCTATCAGGTAAGTCCTTCAAGTAAAAGCAATGGAGTAAAGGTTTTTTGGTTTGTTGTTGGATTTTTTTTTTATTTTTTTTATTTTTTTTTTTTTTGCTTAAAACACTTTTGATACAGTGGTAAGAATATGACATTTTGCTTGATAGCTGCTTTTGTCATTGAAAAACTTTTCATTGAATAGTTTCTCAAATTTTAAAATCATCAATAAAAATGTCACAAGACCTAATATTGAACTCAGAAATTTTTTTACTTGCAACAACGTAATCCAAGGTATGGTTTCCCTTGCAACAGTTGACAAGAATTAAATAAGGCAAGGAGCTGTATTCCCTTTACTGTTTTGGGGTTTATGGTGTGTAGCTGCTAAAGGAGAAATGTGAAATCCTAAAACGTTGGTGTTTAGGTAAGAAAAAGACGATTTATATTAAAATATAATCCTTTCTCTGAAGACAGTATCTGTTCATGATTGAGGATCATAAATCATTTAAAAACAGAAACTTTTTATTTGACTTCTTAAGCGTAAATAGAATACCATTTTTCTTCATGAATTGTATTATTTTGGTTTGATTGTAATTTTTTATCATTCAGCATTCTGTCTATTCTAATAACTGAGAATCAAAATATATTCCCAGCAGCAGCTCTGATTGTTTTGCCCTAAATGTTCTAGGAAGTGATCAGATTTGAACTGCGTTTCCTAACTTTTTTTGTAAGCTCCACTTCTGCTTTTTCAGATGAATGTGTTAGGGAGACTTCTCCCCCTCCTCACCTTTTCCCTACTGACATCGTGGTACTTGTGGTTTTAGCAGCCTAGCAACAGTACTGCTTTAGCTAGATACTAAGAAGCATGCACGCGTTTTACTCTACTTTAAAAGCCTTTGTTACCTGGCTAGTTGTTTGATTTGTTCCTGCGTGTGCATATAGCCTTCTGTCCATCTGTCTTTAGTGTCTCTACTTCCCCTGCCCTCCTTTTTTCAATAAAAGTTGCATTTGGATATGACTGATTTCTGTGAAAAGTTGGGGCAAAAAATCCTGTTTGCACAAGGTTTGGGGACAGGGAAGGATAAATTGTCGTTCCTCATAGAACCAAGAGCTTCATGGGCCAGGTTCCTCAGTCCAGTGCATTTTTAAGCTCATTGTAATCTTTTATAATGTTCAATTAAAAATAGCTTTTTTAACAGTTTGTCAAGATAATACATAGTATTGTTAAAGTAACAATAGTGTTGTTACTTTTGCAAAACTTGGTGAAACTAGCAACAAATCACAATCCATTGTATTGGCTGGTATTGTCAATTACTTTAGACTGAACAACAGAGCAAATTACTGTTAATTAAATACTGGAAGGATATCCAAAATTGTTTAAAAATACGAAGTTCTGTTGAAAGCATTGCTTCTGTTTCACAGTTATCACTTGAAATTTCTGCTCACTTTTACCCCAGGCTTAATTTAATGTTGCTTGTGCTCAGAAAACCAAAAATAACGCTTTCTTCTTTTAAATCTCAGTTTTAACATTGTAATAACTTAGATACTTTTCAATGAAATAGTGCAATCAAATATGAAATGTTTCCCTTTTTTATAAATCTAAAAATAAATGTCTTGATTTAAAAATAGTAATAGGAATCACTAGTGTTTTTAAATGCTAACTAAACTAACGTCGTTTCTGAACAGCTGCTTGGTAAATGGATCTGATGCCAAATATGCCTTGGCAGACACCATTATCCAAGCATAGAGGGGAACTGCAAAAGAGTCTGCAAAAGTTCTGCACACCTCAAAATAAGACACTTCTTTTTTTTAATGGAGTTAAACTTCTTGAGGTTGGTTTAACTCTCGTCTGTGTTGGAAAATCCCCCTGAGCAAACATTCTGAGGCTTTATTTCTTTGTGGGACAGCTAGATGTGTACTTGCTTTGTTCCTCCCCAGCAAGAGAAATGATACACATCTTTGAGTAGCTAAAGTGCTACAGAATTGAAAGCTTATTTAGTAGAACAATTTTCCTTAGATTAGTACCAGAAAATAGAGGTCTAGATCTTTGGTACCAGATCCTTAGTTAATTTTTTTTTTAATTAATCACAGAGTTAAGTACTTCTGGAAAGTTCCAATTTTCTCTCATCAGAGCTGTGTTCAGTTCTTTTTCCTACTTTTCCCCAGCACACAAACCCAGGTGTTTGAAAGCTTATTTAGTAGAACAATTTTCCTTAGATTAGTACCAGAAAATAGAGGTCTAGATCTTTGGTACCAGATCCTTAGTTAATTTTTTTTTTAATTAATCACAGAGTTAAGTACTTCTGGAAAGTTCCAATTTTCTCTCATCAGAGCTGTGTTCAGTTCTTTTTCCTACTTTTCCCCAGCACACAAACCCAGGGGTGGATGCTGCAATTTAAAAAAAAAAAAAAAACCAAACCCAAAGCATCCAACAAAAAGCAGAATATATATTACACAAAGGAAATATGACTGTCTGCCTTCTGACCCTCTTTGGGGCACAGATTCCCTGATCTGAAGGCTTTATTCCACTAATTCAGAATAAGATAATTTTGTGAACTAGCGCCCCTAAAGTTGTTGAGAATTTTTGATACATTACAATTATTGTTGTATAACACCAGTAATTAAACTTGCAAAGCATAATATTGCAGTAGTGGTGGTATGCTCCACAGAGCAAATCTTAGTAAAAGGGTTTGTATTCGTGTGCTTAGAAAGTTCACTTGAGCAGAATTCACAAATTAAAATTAAAACATTTCTATGGATGTTATCAATGAAGATGCAGAAGTTTAGCACTTGATGTTCAAACACTGAATACTAGCAGGCATGTGTTTAACGCTTTGGAATTTCTGATGCACAAATGCAGCAGCGCAGCTTTAGATGAACACTATGTAAAAGTAAGTGTATATTAATACATGTTAACTTACTTCACTAAGAGTTAATGGTATGCGTTTGTCTACAGTGCAGAGGCTAATTCTTTCAATGATTTGGAGCAGCATGGTTAAATAGTACTTGTTCTGACAGCAGTTATGAAAATGTTGGTAGTTAATATGGATGAACTGACTAGAAGTACAGCAAAATGGCTGCTGGTGTCTTAGGCTGGTAGGTAGAAGTAAGACTAACTGTAGTTATGCAGGTGACTAGCAAGTTCTGTCTAAAACATTCATCTTCCCAGTGCTCAGTTGGCTTCTCCAAAGTAAGTGGGGGGAAAAGAAGAAACCCATTTATTGCACTTGCTGAAGGTCTAACCAGGTTCTTCAAGTTTAGTGTTTTCCATCCCCTTTTTCTTCTGAAATCAAAGTAGCAGTTATTTCCTGTTTTGCTGGTGTTTCATTTAGAGCCTGACCCTGTGGGTACAATAGCAGAATAGAGTTGAGCAGTGTCCATAACCTACTCTGAACAGTGAGCTGTTGAATATGTTTTCATATCACGTCATTGTATTTGTTTGGGGTTTCTTAAGCATGAAGGTTTGGAGTTGAATTTGTTGCTATTTCCAAATACTAAGGTATGTACACTTAAGTGATAATTCTGGCTTTCCTAATAATCATCATTCAGACCTACTTTAGTCTTAATTGGCACACTCACTCGCTATACCTGTTTGTTTCTGACGGTAAGCTTATGCAGGTTTGGTTTTCTTTTGTTGTTACTGTTGTGTGAGGTGGGTTTGTGGGGTTTTGGTTTTTCTGGTGGGTTTTAGTTTTATAATTCCTCTATGTCCTAGAGCCAGTATTAGCTGTAGTACACTTGCTGTAGAAGTTGTTTACTGTTGATACTGAAAATTATTACTGTTGATATTCTAGGATAAACTGAGAAACTCCTTGTTTAGCTATTTTGATTGTTGCTGTGCTTTTAGTGGTGGCTGCTTACTGTTTGCTGGTGGCTTCTATTTGGACTGTTGGGAAATATTCTGGGGGACTTCAGTGTAATGGAGTAGACGTGCTCTGTGTAATTCTGAACTATGTCATCCCTGCATGGTTGCCTGAGGTTGCTGGGGAACAAACTTGATCTTCCAGTCCTTTTTTTCCTGTGAGTTGGTTGTATGGGCAACTGAAGTATTTTCAATTAAAAAAATAAATAAAATCAAGAGCTATTAGTTGAAAATCGTGTATGCCTCTCCTCTCTAGCTTCTACAGATGTTTTACAGAATAATCACATATTGTGTCTTTTACCAATCCACAAAGAGTTAAAGTTGCTCAGTTCCTTTCCAAATCTGGGTAATTGGTATAAATTTTGGAAAAGTCTTGAGTTATGCTTATGGGCTTAAGAATGCTGATTTGCTTGATCAATCTCCAAGACATGTCCCCATTAAACTTCTTTTTGCTTCTTGCTTTGATGCATAGCGACAATTCTTTTAATACTTGATTATAATCTAGAAATATGAGATTTGTCACTGTAAATATCTGGAATGTAGTCATACTACTAAAAATTGTTCAGGATTATAATTAAACTTATCAGGCAAGGGGTTGATGGATGGAGATCTACTTTTTTTTAATATATATATATCTATGTATGTACTTTTGGGGATGAGGGAAGCTTAATCAAGGAAAGGGTTGCAAAAGGAAATAACAGTACCAGTGCTTTTCTGCTAATATCAGTGTGACTTGCAGAGCACAGCAGTTAATAAAATTAAGACCTTAAGTGTCTGCTTTGAAGTATGAAACCCAGCAAGCTGCTGGAACATATTAAACTAACATCCTTGTTCTTAGAGATGCAAGTCCTGCAGTTCCTTATGAGATACCGGTACTCCAACTGAAATTATTAGTAAACTGTAAGCTGTTTGGGGCATGGCCTTCCTTTGTCTCTTGTTACCATTACAGTGCCAGATATAGTGCCATGTCTCTCTCTGGTGTTTTGCATGCAGCTGTTAACTATGTTACATTTAAAAGCTGGTCATTTTTGAGTGAGAAGCAGAAGAATTCCATGGTTGGTTTGGGTTTTTTTTTTCCTCCTTTCCTTGTAAAACTGCATAAAAGAATATAAACAGATTTCTTAGTATCTGTTTCTCTTTACTTCAGGCTGTCGAAAATCTCTGCTCCTACAAGATTTCTGCAAACTTGTACAAACAATTGAGACAGATCTGTGAAGACCACATTAAAGCACAAATTCACCAATTCAGAGAATATCCTTTTCTTACCTGTTGACAAGCCAAAACGTTTTTACCTGCCAGTATGTGGTGATGGATTTCTTTGAATAGTTCGTAACAGTAGGCCGTGGTAATCTGAATTCCTAGTTTTTGCATAATTGGGTCTGTTTTCATTTTTTTTATGAGACCTCAGAGAACACTACTAGTTTCTTTATGTCTGTAACCATGTGAAAAGTTTGTGAGAAAGTTTCACTGGTACTTCTGAAACACTTTGACATCTTACAAAAGCTCATATTAGACTTATCACGAGGCTTAAAAAGGCTATATTGGCTGTATCGCTTCAGGCTTTTTTATGTGCTGATCTTGCCATGCTCAGGTAAACGGAAAAGTCTTCTGACAAGTAGTTCCTGTTTTCTTTTTGAAAAGTGCTAGTGGTCTGGCAGCATACAATGTTAGTGGTTCTGAGGATCAAAATGTTTTATTTTCAAAGTTTTGAGTTGCATCAGATCGAGATCCTGTTAAGTGGATATTAACTAGTACCAGAGCTATGCAGTGAACTGAATACAAGTTAAATTTCAATAACAAAATTCAAAAATCTCTTAAGGTTCTCTCTTAACATGAGCTGAAATTATAGTATCTGTGTAGTGGTGGGCTCTTACATGTATTGTAGATTGTTGGGTTTTAAGGAGTGGGGATATGTATGTTTGTTCCGCTCCCCAGGGATGGGGGACTGGATAAAACATTCAGAGGTATTTAGATACTTTTTTTTTAATTGTTCAAATAGTTTTGATTTCTCATTATTAACACAAAGATCCTCATTAAAAATAAAAATAAACATGTTGCAAGAAGTTAACTGGTTCTCTTTGGGAGTAGGTGAGTGTTGTGCTCTCTAAGTGTCCTTAAATAATAATGTCAGTTCATCTTATTGCTAACACTACCTATTAATTGTAATTTTCTTAATGATTTCTTCATGGATTCATTGGATAGTGTCCTTTTTCTAAAGAAAATAGACAAATGTTGGCAAGATCACTGCAGACAAATGGTAAGTTTTTTATCTTTCTAAAGAAAACCAGCTCCCTAGTCAGCCTATGTTTTGTTTAACTTTATTCCTTTATAAACATGCTGTGCTTCTGAAATGTTGTCTTAAATTTGTATAAGGCTTCTTCATGAAACACAACTGTATCTAGTTTGTTACAAATCAAGCCTTGAAAATACTTGTCTGTAGTGTTTTTGTTGACACATTGGTCTGATCTTGGGCACACATGCACACCCCTACACACACCCAACTCCTAACTGTTGTTTCTATGCAAACCGTTCTCCTTTTATACCTATTATAAAAGGACTTATTCTTTTATACAGAAAGATGCTAAATACCACATTGATCATTTCACTGAGACTGGCAGAATATTTTAAACAAATCAACATTGTCTTAGAAAGTACTACCTGAAACCTGTCAATGGGATTTTTTTGTTGTTGTTGTTGTTGAACATAATTTGTGTTGCTCTTCAATTTGAAGAGTAAAATGATTGTGGCTTTTTTATTCCTTCTCATAACAGATTATGATTAGAAGTATCTTTTTGTTCTTGGATCGAACTTACGTACTTCAGAATTCAATGCTGCCGTCTATTTGGTAAGGGCACAAAGAATAAAATTATTGGGGGGGATACATTTAAATTATCACATATATCTTGCTGATTTTCAGGGTTTTCTTTTATGAACTTCATAGTGACCTGTAAATTAGATGGTGAATGCATATATGCTTGTTGCAAAGGGAGATTTCACGTTTAATTTTTGCCATGAATTACAGGATTCTACTAGAATAGCTGTGATAGCAAATTTCAGCTAAGTAGGTATCAACCTCCAGTTTGCACACTAAAAGGAAAGGGCCTGTTCAATAACTGAAGTGTGAGGGCTTGGGTTGCCCAGTTACTGGCTTTAACATGCAGAGTATTCAAAGTTCTGTAAGTATTTCTGAAGGAAAAAGTTGCCTAAAATAAAAGCAAGTTTACCCTCTTTTGGATTTCAAACACTTCCACCCCCAATATTTTAATAATTAGCAAATGCCCTACAGAGCCTTTGGCACTACCTGAATTACTTTGCCAGAGATTGAAGGAGTGGTGGATGGAGGGCCTGGCTTTTCCTAAAAGTGTCCAGACCCACAGTTTCAAATTCATGGAAGGTTTTAACTGGGATGCTCAGAGCAGAGATCCTTGTCTTTCACATCACTGAGTTCTTCTAAGCTCTGCGTAAGAATTAGAGATTAGAAAGTGACAGACAAAAAAGAATATTGTCCAACAGCTTAACCATGGAAGTGGGACCCAGGATGACATTATCCTTTTCTCGTGAAAGCTGCTGTTCATTCAGTTTCCATCATCCTGCCAACCAAGTGAAAAATAAAGACACTGCAGAAGTTAGGTGGTTATTTAGGAAAAGGTATGCACTTTGGTCTTTAAAATTTGTAGCTTACTGTTGATGCTTTGTTGTGGTTTATTTTAGTGTTTGTTCATCTTGAGTGATTTGGGGGCAAAGGATTGAGGAATTTAAAGAATGCTAGTATTGGCCTCTCTGATCTAGATCAAATTTTATTAATAGACAATATTTGGGGTTAATTCTTAGCAATTTATTGAACAGTCTTTATTTTCTTTCTAGGGATATGGGGCTAGAATTGTTCAGAACTCATATAATCAGTGATCAGAAGGTTCAGAACAAAACTATTGATGGTATTCTTCTGCTGATCGAGAGGGAAAGAAATGGTGAGGCTATAGATAGGAGTTTACTGCGAAGCCTTCTAAGCATGCTTTCTGACTTGCAGGTGAGTAAAGTTGGTTTGCCCTTAAACCAATAAACAGCTTGGGTTCTTATTTAGTGCTCTGTAAGCTTTACCCTGGACTGCTGTTATGTTGTTTTCCTAGATTTATCAAGACTCTTTCGAACATAGATTCTTGGAAGAGACTAACCGTCTGTATGCAGCAGAGGGACAGAGGCTTATGCAGGAACGAGAGGTATTTTGAATGTTTAACAATATTTGTTATGCTTAACGATGAAGCATTTGTCAGGGAGAGGAAATATTCCGCTGCCTTAGCCAGTGTACAGGGCAGTAATGTGACCTTTATGTTTTATAGTACTCTGAAAAAGCAAATTCACATGCAGTTGCCTTCAGTCACAGTGCTAATGATTTCTGCTTAAAACTGGAGATGCTGGTGCTCTCAGACCAGTATTGTCTTTTTTTTCCTCTTGATTTTTTTAAAACATACAAAACTACTCTGGCATTTTCAGGTTCCAGAATATCTTCACCATGTCAACAAGCGCTTGGAAGAAGAAGCAGACAGGATAATCACTTATTTAGATCAGAGCACACAGTAAGTGCAGTCTCTTTTTGCTTGGTATTGTTAGCTGTTTGGCTCTTCTTCTGTTGAGGACTATCTAATAGCTACAATTTATTTCAGTTATTGACTGACCATCAAATGCTTCTCACTTCCCACAGTTCCTTGTTTACAGTGAAGCACTATCTTGGCTCACACAGCTGATATCCTTTTCTTTTAAGCCACTAGTTATTTTCACACAAATACTGGGCATTTGGTCAGAGACAATAGGCTGCCACCTCCAGTCCAAATGTCTCTTGCTGAAATGCAATTAATCGGCTGTCCTACCTGAAAAAGATAGGACCCAGGATAGAGAATTCTTAAGCTAAAGGCTCTGAATATTTACATAAGAATATTTGCATATTCTTTATGGAGTCTGGGAAATTACTGACTAATGTCACTCCTAAATCTTTTCTACTTAGAGGCAGGATTTCCTCAAATACAGTCAGGTGGAGGTCATGACTGGTAGGACAGGAGAAATGTTCTCCTAACAAAAGCCACAGCTGTTGTGTCTGAGAGAAAATGTAGGTCGCTAATGTAACAAAACTCTTTGAGGAAGTGGTAGCACCTTCGTAAAGAGCAAGTACAGAGGAGCTCTCTGAGAGGAAGGTGTTTTATTGCTACTGTCATGCATTTTTATTTCCTTCCTCCTTCAGCTGTTAAAAACATTTAGCTTTAGTGGCTTCCTTCTTCCACACCATTATTAGTGGCCAACTCCCTATTTTGTTTTAATACTTCTGGACTCGTGAGGTGTATATTTTCTTCTCCTTGGTTTGTCTCCCAAGACATCAATCTCCTCCCACAAAGCAAGTGAAGGTATATTTTTTGACAAACTGTTGCCCAGTTTCTTCACTGATGGAATCATTGTCCAGCTGCATAGAAGTCATGTACAATAGGCTTATTGTGTGAATTAAATTCTCAGTCAGCAAACAGAAAAAAAAGATTGCTTACTGGGGAGGAAAAAGGATAAATGTGTGTATAATCATTTTAGGTCCTTGGCCACAGATAGCTAGAGCACTCCCAGTGGCAAGCGTAGTTAACATAATCTCAAAAAAGGATTTAGAACTGTCAATAATGGAAAAAGGAAAAGTAATTCTAAACGTTTTTTCTATAGGAAGCCACTAATTGCTACTGTAGAAAAGCAACTTCTAGGTGAACATTTAACAGCCATTCTTCAGAAAGGTAATCTTTCTTCTTTATAGAAATGTTTCTAATTACTGCTTCGGGGTTTCAGTTCCTGTGCTGAAAATGAAAGTGACAGATTCAGGTGCTGGGGGAGGATGCAAGCTACATCATTCTTTAATGCCCTTTGCTACTCAGTTCATGGAATAGCATTGACCATTTTGCAAGAGGGCAAGTACCATTCTCCTTGGTAGAGGTAAGGAGACACAATGCCATCTTCAGGTACGCAGCAAAGCAAAAGGAAAACTAGAATAGGGGATTCTTGAGTTGAGTGTGTTAAATAGCATTTTGAAGACTCGGAGGGAAAAGAGTAGCCTTTGAATTATGGCTGTACCAGAAAGGGAAAACTTTGATTACTCGCAGCTCACAAAAAGCAGCTTGTTTTAAAAATTCAGTACAATTTGAGTAATGAAGTACGTTGCCTCAGTTCTGCAGTGATCTCTGTGGAGTCAGGTGACCCTCTGTTGCCCTGAGGGATAGTCTGGAAATAGGTATGGGTGCAGCAAGAGTTGAATAATAAAAGAAAATTATCAAGTCCTTACTAGCCAGATTCTGGATGAAACAGGTTTGTGAGCATCTTCCTGCATGTCTGTAACAGACTCTTTATTGAGACAAGTATGAAGTTTGCAGTATTTACCCATCTACTTTCTTAGAACCTTGCTGTGGAGCATCAGGCCTTGTCTGCCAAAAAGTTAAAAAGTGAAAGGTGAAGATATTTCTTGAAGCTGCTTGCCTTCAAACATCTGTAAAATTTATTTTACAGCTGGAATTGAGACTTGGAACTCTGTCTTGCCAAGGAACCTTTCCTGCAGATCAGTAAAGCATAAACTTTTCAAATCTTTAGGGAATAGTAAAGCAGAAGTACACAAAGGTGTTGTGATAAGTATATTATGTAAAGTCCATGTAGCCTAAGATAGCCAGTGCAATAAGAAGGTTTTTTAAGGTTTGAGCCAGTTCAGGTAGCTGTTCTGTGTTTCATTGCTAAATTAGGTAGCTGCTAAAAAAACCCCAAAACACCACTAATTGCTTGATAAAAAATACTAGCTTTGAACAGGTCCCTTACTGTAATAATATGCTGCATTTTACTTTTGGTTTTAATTTCTGTTGAAATTCTCTCATTTACAGGTTTAAACCACCTTCTTGATGAAAACCGAATTCAAGACCTGTCTCTTCTGTATCAGTTGTTCAGTCGTGTGAGAGGCGGAGTACAGGTTCTCTTGCAACACTGGATTGAGTACATAAAGGTGCTGTTTCTAGAACTTTGGAACAGATACCACTATTGTATCTATGGGGTTTATACGCAGATATTTGAGTCATCTCTATAAACTATTGCATTTTTCTAAGAATTAGAGACTACTTGCTTGTGAACATATACTTAACGGGCAGCTTTTGAAACTGTACAAGGAAAAGTACAGTAACTGTTGTAGCCCTATCAAAGAAAATATTCAACATTCAGTTGAATTATTGAACTCCAAATATATTTGGAGTTTTTATCTTGCCTATAGTTAGTTGTGGAGGACAACTATATTTGTCCAGTAGACATTTTGGTAAGGGCAGAACATTTCTGTCTTCTCCCTGCTAAAATTTCTTGTCAGAATGAGTGGTAGCTTAAGTTACCAACCAACTGAAGTTCAAAAAGCACGTGAATATCACTTAAGATGTTTCATCTTATTAATCAGTGAAAATGTCGACACAAAGTATGGTTGTTGCAAAGGAAGGCTTTGTAATGGCATAGAAGTACTGTTAAATAAAATTGAGTCCAGTGGGAGCTTTACCTGTGTAAAACCTGAGGATACAGATGTTTAAAGAGGGTGTGTTAATTTTGTCATGCTGAAGTTTATTTCTTCAGACAAAAGTTGTGAATCTGTTCACTTATTCATAGATTGATTTTTGAATCAAAATACAAGGTCTAGGAATGATTAAATAGTAATACTTCATAATGCTATTACTTCTGTTGTTAGTGGAAGTAATATGAATACCAGAAACAAGACATTACAAATACAACTTAGGCTTTTAGAAGCCTTGTCATTTAAATTCATTATTCAGGCTAATTGAAAGATACCTTTTATTTTGCAGGCATTTGGTAGCACCATAGTAATTAATCCAGAAAAAGACAAAACCATGGTCCAAGAACTACTTGATTTTAAAGACAAAGTTGACCATATTATCGATGTTTGCTTTCTCAAGAATGAGAAGTTTGTAAATGCCATGAAAGAAGCCTTTGAAACATTCATTAACAAAAGACCAAATAAGCCAGCTGAACTCATAGGTATTTTTCTTCAGTTTCTTCCCATGTGAGAATTTGGGTGGGGGATGAGAGGGAGTTGCTGATGCAGCTTACAGATGGGATATGATGGAACTGTGTGCTCTAAGACATTATGCACAATGCATTGTCAAACTGGGGATCTACTGTGCCTTATTATGCAAGTGAATTATTCGATAGAATAGCATGAAACACAAAGGACAAGCTCTGTTCATCAGTTCACTAGCTAGGCTATAGAAACGTGAAGAACATTAGAACTTAGGCATTCCAGCAATTGACTGGTGTCCAGATGTGAGGATACTGCTAAGAATTTGCCTTTTTCAGAAGCTTACGTAACTGTGCCACCAACACATGTGCACGGAGCTATTAGGGGCTCCACATAGGTATCTAGGTGTTAATATATAAAAGCGAAGAGAGATGAGGACGCACTCTACCTCTCATGTTATGGGGACAGAACCTCTGTAGTTTGCAAAGGAAGTTGTTTACAGATTTGTGCATTACAAGCCTGGCGCTCTACACTTTTGAA